ACAACTTCCATTGTAGCAGCTTTCTCCACCTTCTGAAATAAAAAAAAATGTTTCCAATACATTCCAAGAATTGTTGGATAATCTGAGCCCTGTTGTGTTATTTTCCCAATGGATGTCTAGTTAGTTGAAGTCTCCTCTCACCACCAAGTCTTATGCTTTGGACGATTTTGTCGGTTGTTTAAAAAAACCTCATCCACCTTTTCTGCCTGTTTTGGTGGTCTGTAATTATGTTGTATGCCTCTTCATTTCTCTATTATAACTAAAGTAATCTGTCGTGGGGTAACCGTGTTAGTCTGTAACTTAAAAAAAAAAAAGCTTGAAAAAGCATGGTCCTGTAGCACTTTAGAGACTATCACAAAGATATAGATAGTATCACAAGCTTTTGTGGGCACATCTGAAGAAGTGGGCTGTACCCACGAAATCTCATGATACTATTTATATCTTTTTGACAGTCTCTAAAGTGCTACAGGACCATGCTTTTTCTAGCTTTTTTTTTTTAGTTATCTGTTCGTCTGTAGCCAAGCTGCCTTCCACTTTCAAATTCTCAACCAACTCTCAAATTCTCAATCAACTCTGTTCGTCTGTAGTATATTATTCCGTCACTAGATGTCCCTTTGTGTCTATAGGGTTCTAGATTGGGTATGGCCCCGATGTACAAAGGACAAAAATATGGATCTCATGGTTTGTGAAAGCGTGTTTTTGTTTGCACCGGTTTTCATTTGGATCCATTTTCATAAGCATTCTGTATAATAAATATCATTGGTTTAGGATGGTTTGTGATTCCATATATGATGATGGCTAGAAATGGAAGCACAAATACTCATAGAAAGGTTGCTGTCATGATGTTTCCTGCCTGGGAGGAGGAAATACAAAAACATTGCAAGAAATCCTGGTCTTGTGCAATTTCAAGCTCAAATTTTACCAATCACAGATAAGTGGTTAGTATAAGTATCTATATTTTCTACAACCAAACCCTACCTCCAAATTTTCAGAAGTTTGAACAGTAGTCTGAGAAATCCAGTTGTGAATATAGTTGCCATCTGAACTTTATTGAACATTATTGAATACTTATTAATCATCCTAACTTGAA